AAATTACCTTCAAATTAGTTAAAAATTATTTTAAATAAATTATGAAATAAATAAGAAAAAATATATATTTTTAAAATTAACGATAAATTCATACGGTTAATCTAATTTTGTCAATTCAATTTAACTGTACAGTAAAATGTTCGGTTTTATAATCTCAAAACTCTGTTTGTCTTGTAGATTTGTCGAACTTTTACTCTTTTACATATACTTTTGAAATTCGGTTTCATAACGTAGGATTGAAATGTCTCTTATGTTCTCGATTTTTTTTTTTTTTTTTAACGATGTGACGGTAACATTAGAAACTTGAAGCTATTAGTACATGAATTAGGTTAAATATGGAGAATTAAAGAAGGGTAATGCATATTTTTTTAATGAACAGTAAGTAAATGTTGGGTAAGGTTAAGAAGGGTAAAAAAAGGGAGCAGGAGAGTAATAAGAGGAGAGAGAAGAGGAGGAAGGGTAAAATGGGAAAGAGACAACTAGCAATAGCAATGAAGGAGTAGCCTCACCTACCATTGCACACCCACATCTCTTCTTCTCTTTCATTTCCTTTTTAGCTTCTCCTTCTCTCTCATCCTTACATATTCTCTCTCTCTCTGGAAATGGACTCCTTTACCACCTGTTAGTTCAGCTTTCTGAGGTGGGTTTTGCTTCTTTTTCCTTCCTTTCTTCTTCTTCTTACTGTTCTTCCTGTTCTTCGTGTTCTTATCGCTTCTGGGTCTCTGTTTTTTCAACTGGAAATGGGGTTTTCTGGACATTGCAATTTCAGGGTTTTGGGGTTTCTTGGAATGTGAACAAAAATCAAAAGAATGGAAGTTTGAAACATGAAATCCAGGAGTTTCTTAAGTTTTGTAAATCAAAACCCCTCTTCAACCCAAATTTCTCCTCTGTTTTTCCAGAAATTGAAGAACAAAATGCTCTGTTTTTCCAGAAACTGAAGAAAAAAAAATGCTCTGTTCTTCCAGAAACTGAAGAAAAATGCTCTGTTTTTCAACGCATTGCAAATTAAAAACAGAGCTTACTCCTCCAACCCCTTTTTTTTGCAGGTTTTGAAGCTCAGATTTCCCCATTTTCACTGCGAATCTCAAACGAAAAGGTTTGTTCTAAACTTATTCTTAGCAATCCCCAACAAACCCATTTCGAGTTTCAAAAAACGGACCCTTTTTTTTTTTTTTTTAACCCTAAAAGCCAAGAAGGAAATGAAATTATAACGTATAGAATTGGCTAACCTACGCCACGCGGTTTTATTTAATGTTTTACAGACTTACCAAACCAAGCTTCATCTTAAAATGCAGACCCCCTTATCTTCTTCTTACAATTTCTCCTTTTCTTTTTCAGACAAAAAAGAAAAAAAAATCGACAGAATGGTCGGTAACAGCTTTGTCGACGACTTAGATTGCGGCAGTTTCTTCGACCACATCGACGACCTTCTCGATTTTCCGGTGGAGGATGTCGACGCCGGCTTGCCGCCGGCGAAGGGCGGCGACTCGGGCAACTCGTTTCCAACCATTTGGTCGACTCAGTCTGAAGCACTGCCTGGTTCCGACTCCGTGTTCTCGGCTAGTAGAAACTCTGATTTGTCGGCCGACCTCTCTGTTCCGGTTAGTATTTCTTCTGGATTTTTGCTCACCCGCGGGTGTTTCTATCGTTTCTCTCATGAACCGTCTCTCGAGTCAGACCGGACCGGGTAAATTAATGTGAAAGATTAATTCTAAATTTGCAATATTTTGAAACCGATAATTTATTAATTTCAAAATTAAATTTTAATCTCATTTACATCTCCCTATTCCATTTTTTTTTGTTAAAAAATTTTTAGACACAAATTTAAAATATTATTTTTATAATTTTACCCTTAAAAAAAAAAGAATTTGGATAATTTTCTTTTTTTCTTATTAAAAAAATAAATATTACAACATTTCAAAATTCAATAATTAAAAAAAAAAAAAAAAAAAAAAAATGGCGTTGATTTTAAGGACATTGGGTTTAATTTCGGTGGATTTTGTCACCTTTTGTTTGGAATAAAATAATAAAATAAATATAGAAAATGTTATCATCGTAGGTAATTAGTGAAAGAAATCGACATGATTATGACTAATTGATTACCTGTCCACCTGGCATGCCACGTGGAGGCCAGTTATTGGTGGTGCTTCGTCATTTTTCCCCTTGATTGGAGGCGCCAAGAAACACACATGGAAATTCATTTAAATTATTTTTTTTAAAATTTTTCTTTCAAATTCCAAAGCCCGTAAAGGGTATTTTAGTCTTTTCACACAGTCTTCTTGGGATCTGTTAGGAATATATAATATTTAAAAAATGAATAATAATATTTTATTATTAGATTTACATGCACGTGAGTGTTGAGAACTGGCACGTGCTTATAATATATATTATATATATATTTTTAATTTATTTTACAGTATGAAGATATTGTTCAATTGGAATGGCTATCAAATTTTGTTGAGGATTCATTCTGTGGTGGTGGAAGCCTTGCAACAATGAGCAAAGAGGAGCCTAAGGGTTTGACCCATACCCAATTCCAAACCTCTAGCCCTGTTTCTGTCCTTGAAAGTAGCAGCTCTTGCTCTAGTGACAAGAGCCTGCCCCGCAGCCCCGAACCGACCATCGCCACCCCGGCCCACCAGCGTGGCCGTGCTCGTAGCAAACGCCCTCGCCCTGCAACCTTCTGTCCCCGTCCCCCAATTCAGCTTATTTCCCCTGCCTCCTCCGTCTCCGAAACAACTCATGATCCTCATCATCAAGTCTTGCAGGTCATTGCCCCGAAGACTACCTCGGACTCAGATAACTTCGCCGAGTCTCGACCTTTGAACAAAATGCCGAAGCATGGCGCGTTAGGAATGCAAAAGAAGAACAAGAAAATCAAGTTGTCGTTTTCGCTTGCCCCATTAGATGGGGCGGCGAGTCAAAACTCGCCATCGCAGTCGATGAGAAAATGTATGCATTGTGAGATAACTAAGACTCCACAATGGAGAGCAGGACCAATGGGACCGAAAACTCTTTGTAATGCTTGTGGTGTTCGGTATAAGTCTGGTAGATTGTTCCCGGAGTATCGACCAGCAGCCAGCCCGACTTTTGTCCCGTCATTGCACTCGAACTCCCACAAGAAAGTGCTGGAAATGAGAAACAAGACGGACGAGAAAACAGCTGCAAATGTAATCACCATAACTGTGCAACCGGAGCTCATTCCAAACACAAACAGTGCAATTTCGATGGATTACATGTGAAGAGGAAGAGGAAGAAGAAGGAGGAGGAGGGTGGTTCGAGAACCGATCCTAGCCCGGGATCGGTCTCGAAGATTAGGCGTTGGATGTGGACGTGGGGGAGTCGTTGTTGGGTCTAGTAGTAGAAGTTGTGTTTACTTTAGGGTGGTGGTTGTTGTTCTGTGTACAGGTTTAGGACTCATTTTAGGTACCAAATTAGAGGTGGAGGAGAGACCAGAAGTGATATTGGAGTTATTGAGGTTAGAGAGAGAGAGATTAAAGAGTTTTGGTATTCAGTTTTAGTCCTTCAAACTTTAGGTTTTTTTTTTTTTCTTTTTTTTGCATTCTTTTTCTTTCTCAATTTCTTTGTAATTCTTTTTGCACTTCATTTTTAGTGAAAGTTCTTAGCTTTTGTTAAAGTAATGAAATTTCGGGTCATTATTCAAGAAACTTTTAACGTTCTCGACTCGAGGGTTTTTTCAGTCATCTGCTCTACCAACTGAGCTTCAATCCATGAACATGTGCAATCTCATTTCTAGTTGAGACCATCGGAGAATCTTCTCTTATAGCTTTTACTTCCCCCCTGGCCTGAAAATTGAACCCGGTAAGCTAAAAAGGTGATAGGACGACCTTATTTTAACCGAACGAAATGAAAAAGTTTATAAAGAATTCAAATTAGTTCGGAGGGTGCTTTTAGCAATTCAATCCCACCAACTCAACCAAAATTCAACAAACTTGGATTGATGAGTTAAAATGTTTATTTCGGACAAAATAGATATAAATTTAAAAGTCCGAACTTTTGAAAATTATGATAAAAGTGTTACTTTTTATTGGAAAGAAGAATTTAATATATATATTTGAAATTGAAGATTCCAATGGGTTACTTTCAAATCTGCTTGAAATTTTGAAAAAAAATCAAATTCAAATTTTAGGTAGAAAAAAGTTTGAATTTGAATTTTCATTTAAATTAAAAAAGAGGTAAAAAGAATTAAATCAATGATTGATGTTACTTTCATTGAAAGTATGGTGAGAATTATTTATCACATGAAAAGATGTTTCCACGAAACACACAAAAACACAATTCAATTAGAAAAAAGGAATTATACAGTGTGTTAAATGAAATAATGTAACTTAAATTTGCACTAAGAGAATTATAAAATTACACTTCATATCATCGATTTTCTAAACGTAGTACACTTACACCTAAAATAAATTATAGCACGGGATAAAGGCATTATAACTACATAAGTCCATCGATATTGTTCTCTTTTGGGCTTTCTCTCAAGGTTTTTAAAAACTCATCTCCTAGGAAGAAGTTTCCACACCCTTATAGAAAGCTTCGTCCTCCTCCCCAACCAATGTGGGATCTCACAATCCACCCCGCTTTGGGACCCAGCGTCCTCGTTGACACTCGTTCCCTTATCCAATCAATGTGAGACCCCCAATTCACCCCCCTTATGGGCCCAACATTCTTGCAGGCACATCGCTCGAGTTCACCCCTGCTCAGCCTCCTTGTTGGCACATCGCATGGTGTTTGACTCTAATACCATTTGTAATAGTCTAAGTCCACCGCCAGCAAATATTGTCCTCTTTGAACTTCCCCTTAAGGGTGTCTACTAGAGAGAGGTTTCCACACTCTTATAAAGAATGTTTTGTTCTCCTCTCCAACCGATGTGGGATCTCACATATATCTTCGATCAAGGATTAGAAGTTCATTAAGGCAAAATAATCACCACCGTTGAACTACAAAGTAAGAGAATTTGTAAATATAAACCCTAATTATGCAAGAGACAGACACGACAATGATTGATGTGTCGGGTATTTATTGGCTGAAAATAACAATATCAACTTATTCAATCAATACAAGTTTTACATGTGACAGTGTCACATAATTATGCTAAATACTTTTAACTTATTTAAATCGACAAGTGAACAACTCAATCAGACCAGCTATTCTTAAGATCAGTATGAATGCACTATGTACCATAAAAAATGAAAGGCAAACTAAGTTTCTTTTTCAAGCATGCTTTCTAGGTTCTAGATATGAACAGGAAGAGCAGTCAAAAAGGCCAAGGTAAGGGGAGAAGTAGACTTGCCAAATAGGGAGCACCAGGAAGGAAGCCTTGAAATTACCCTCTCGGCTTTTGGAGTTAATCTGTTGAAATCAGTTCGCAGCTTTAGAAGTGGAGGCTGAACTGTGTTATTAGCTTCTACCGATTTGGTTGAGTTGTTTTTCCAGAATAGAGTTAGAGAGAAAGTTGTGGGCGAGTCCCTTCCTCCTGCAAATTGAATAGTGTGCCACCCATCTACACTGTTCTTATCGCCAACTGGAACCAGTTCTTCTTCGCCTGGGCCAGACAAAATAAATTTAGTTTACAGTCACAAAATTCTTTTAATACACTTGAAAACATTACTTCTATTGGCCCAATTCCATTTCTATTGGCCTAATCCCACCGCCAACAGATATTATTCTTTTTGGGCTTTCTCTTTCGGGTTTTCCCTCAAAGTTTTTAAAACGCATATGTTAGAGAGAAGTTTTCACACCCTTATATGGGCCCAAGGGGGTGGATTGTGAGATCCCACATCCGTTAAGTAGGAGAACGAAACACCCTTTATAAGGGTGTGGAAACCTCTTCCTAGTAGACACGTTTTAAAAACCTTAGAAGCTCGGAAGAGAAAACTCAAAGAGGATAATATCTGTTAGCGGTGAGCTTGGGCCTTTATAGTTGAAGTGTATAGTTGAAGTGTTTATCAAGTGCTTTGAACTCGAGCACTTCACCTTTAATCCTTCATTACACATTTTCTCATGCATGACTTCATTAATCTCTCTACCCACTTTCAATAACTAACTACTCTCTACAAGCTTCTCTCACTAACCTCTCCCCTTTGTACCCATTTTCTTGGACTAACTTCCCATTAGGCACCTTTCACTTATTCTCTCTGCACACTTCCCTTCTCTAGCTTCTTTCCACACCCATACTTTCTCACCATGGTATTTTATAATACAAACAATTTTGATGAAAGTATTTCAGTAAAAGCACCCCAAAAACGTCTAGCAATCCTTCCATTTTTCAGCATTTTGATCTACAAGAGAATAAGCCTTTGGTTTGTACCGTAAAGACAACAGAAGTATAAATGGACAGAAGCATATACCAGAAGCGAGGAAAGAATTAACATTTATCAATGGTTAATACCTTTAAACTTGAAATCTTTGATTTCATCAGTGTTGATACCAAGAGACCAACGTGTAGAACCCTTAGTATCAATTAAAATAGTTGTAATTCTTCCATTGTTGCTAACATCGTTGTCGACCAGCAGCGAGGGAATATCAGACTCGTCCCACCCATTTTCACCACCTTCATGGGTCCAACAACCATAATCAACAGAGAAGGTAACATAATCAATAGGTTTATCTCTACCACATGTAAACCCCTCTTTGATATGTTCAACCTCCCTGGTCAACTTTCCAGGAGTTGTAGAGAATAGAGATACATATGAGATAAGATCTTGCTCTCCACCGTATTTTTTTGTCGTATCTACAACATGGACAACCTGTGACAATAATATTTTTTAGAAATATATCAGTTAATGCTCTAAAGCTACATCATTCCAACTAAATAGCAGAATGCCTATCAACTCATCACAAACCATTTTATTAGAGCCAGTAAATGCTAGCTTTGAATCATAATATAGCTAAAAAATTGAAGCATCAAGGTCTTCCTTGTGTTTTCTTGCCCAAATTCTCTTTAATCAACTTTTCCCCGTATTTCTAGCCAATTTTCCTATTTACGTACTAATATTTACTAAATATATCTCTAATTTAATTCCATGTGCCCTACATCACTATACACAAACATAATTTCAAGTTGAAAATCTATTACTTTCTTACAACTTTATCATAGTCCAAATTTTCAATTATATTTTGATCTATTGTTCTAGTCTTCTTAAACTCAAATGAAAAAAAATGTGAGTTGCCTTGAAGCCACTTTTTGTTCTCTTTTCTTGGTTTGTAGTTTGTCTCTAGGTGTTTGGAAAAGTGTTTATCAGTACATAATAATAACAGTAAGTTTCCTCAATGATACAACGATGTGATCATATTTGATTATGAAATAATAGTTGGAGTTGAATCATGCAGGGACTTTTATGAGCTGATGTAAAGCTTACTAAGTACGAACAATTCAATAGGCAAAAAAAGAATAACAGAAGTTACAATTTGATCAAGTGCACGTGATAACATGGCGTTCCACAAGTTTCAACTGGACCTATTACACGATCCAAGGCCAAGAAGATTCAAAAAGTATTCATCCTTTCATCTAGAAGACCATTTGGAGCTTTGGGAATTAATATTCGCAAGGTTGAAGACTTTATTTATTATTTTTATTTCATAACTCCTTTTAGAGGGCATTTGAAGGATAGTGGGAAGAACTTGTCCATCATGGTCACTAACTTCTTTTAGTGGCCATTTGAAGGGTTGGAGGTTTCTTTTGGAAGGTTATAAATACCCACAAAATGGTATGCAGAGAGGAAGACTATGAGATTTGGATGAATGAAGTTGAGCTCTTAAGACTTTACCCTTAGAAATTTGGGTATCTTCTTTGCCATTTCTAAGATTTTAAGCAATTCTTGCGGTAGATTGCATCCAAACCATTCAATTAAGCCTTGATCAAGTTTGATTATGGTAACTCAATTTAGAATAATATTCTAAATCTTCCTTCTAGATCTTTGATCTTAAGAAGTAATCTAATTCTAGTCTTGCCTCGTGGTTGATTGGAATTTTGTACAAGGAGGTACTAATTTCTTTGATTCAAGGATAATAGCTTCAACAAAAGCTTAGATGGTTGGAATGAAGATTAGGATTGTGTTTAGCACAGGAAGAATGAATGAATTTGAGGTTGAATTGAAAGAACTTACATTTACAGTTCTGGCTATGTCATCAGAAAATGGTGGGACGATGCCAGATACCACAGTAGCGATTGAAAAGCCAAATAGAAGGCAAGTTGCAAATACTATTGATCTTTTTGCTCCTGCACCACAAGCATATAACATGATACTTGTTAGAAAAATTATTCAACTGTGTTTCATATCAGAGACTCAGATATATACAAGAAAATCCTAAATTAAAGGAATGTACGATCATAATGAAAGAACACTATACATCATAATGAAAGAAAATCCTAAATTATACAATCATAATTAAAGGAATGTACAATCATATATCGGAGTACTACATGGTTTGATTCTTAATTTTCCTGTAAAAGATGACAAATCCGGTACATATTTTCGTTGTGACAAAAAAGTACCTTCTTGCTTATCATTAGCAAAAATTTACTAAGGCGACAAACTTTATTACTCTCCCCTAAGCTACAATCCAAATGGTTGCTCCATATAAACTTCCTCTAGAAGATCACCATGTAGAAATAAACATTCTTAATGTCAAGCCGATGCAAAGGCCAACGTTGAGTAGCAACCAACAAAAAAAACAGTTGAATAGAAGTTATTTAGCAAGAGGAGAGTGTGTAAGAATAATCAATCTCCTAGATTTGGGCATAGCCTTTAGCGACAAGATGTGCTTATAAATCCAACTAGGAGAATAAAAAGGAGGCTCTCTAGTTGGAGTGAATCATAAGATGTTTCTAACTGAATTTGTCTTCCTGAAGATTTCTTTAAAGAAAATTGGCCAAGCAGAGATCTCTTCTAATCTATTTCATCCTTCTGTTTTTCGGCTGGACAAGTTTTAACGAGGGTTCCCCCGTCAAATTCAGCCGGACAAGTAGTCCTCTCTTCCACCTTTTGCAAACACTGTTTCCTCAAAATAAGCATTTCTTTTCTGTATAAACATATATGAAGATACTATCTGCTCACTTCATGATCTAGGAAGGACTTTCTAGAAAATGCAACGTATTTTCATTGAAAAAATTAAAATAATCTTTGATTGTAATTACATGCAACAAAAGACTCAACCATCTCAAAATGTTTGTTACTAATAGTCCGTTAAAGAACATCTAAATAATGAACTTCTATCTTTATAAGTGGCATCAACGACATCTACGACATGATCTATTCTATATAGTACAAAAAGATGGATATATCAACTAGAGAAAAGACCTGAGAGATGAAGATATGACAATAGGTAGACGGTGGTCAGACACAAGACAACAGCAACAAAAACAGAGACTATCACACTCCCCAGCCACTCTGGAGTGCTACCTGGATTCCTGGAAACGATCAACAGAGAATTTAGTAAATATTTCCACAGAATGTTGCAAATCAATGAAAACAAATAAAAGATGAGAGTCATGAGGGGAAGCCTTGAGATGTGGATGATATGGTATGAACAATGAAAATTTTTACGTGTATAGAACACCTCTAACATTATCATATGAATACGCTATACATGGTACAGTTTTGTGCAAAAACAGTCAACCAATCATATGGAAAGACTGAAATATCCTTGCAATTAGGCGTCTACAAAGTAGGATGATCAAATGATCCTCGCAACGGGGCTCACAACTTCTTTCTTGGTTGTCAGCTCAGTAAGCGTTCACTGGCCTCGATCTTTCCATAATCTTAAGTCAGAGGAAAGGTTTAGTAGGTATTCGGTAATATACATGCCCAGTTTATATCCTTTCATGATCAAAGAATCGCATCTCTATTCCTTCCCCGATGCAGCAATTCGCGGTTATTTTCTATACAGAGATGGTTTGAGGATATTGAAGCTCCACAATTCAACATTAAGTTTCTATGTTTACAGAACACCTTGTGTTTACAGCAAGACAGCCATTTTAGTGAACTAACATTTCCATTTGAGGAGATAAGTTAGATGATATAAGAAATATAGAACAAATCAAGAATTTATTCCATGGGATAGCTCAAAAGAATGAATTGAGAATTTAGTTATATCTGATTTGGCAGCTATTGATTTGTATGTTCACCATAATTTCACACATTTTTGAGAAATCATTTCTCCCTTAATTTTTTAACACAATTAGCCAAGCTAGAGGAGGTTACAAGTCGAGCTGAGGCATCTTTACATTATTAGAAGAATGTCAGAGGCCTTTCCGGGAATAGGAAGTCTAGACTATGGAAAAATCTGGCCTATTCTCTAATAAATCCAACTTTAATTTTCTAACTGGCAAAGATAAACTTCTTTGCCAGCCAGAACAAAAGTTACTTGAAAAATGTATACACACATACATATCTATAAGATGATTAAACCCCCCCATTTAGTCTTTGGCAATAGAAGAAATTAATACTGTAATAAGTTGTAGAAAAGATTTTCCACTGATTTCCTTAACCAAAGCTGGTTCATTATGCATAGAAGTTCAGAAGATCAGAACCATATCTTCTTTAAACGTGAATTCAGAAAAGGAGATGGGACGGCTCTTTACAATTTCTAGCCTTCGTGCTTCCATCATGGCTTTAAAGAAAACATTTCCCAGCTTCTTTCCAGTCATCCTTTAAGGCCAAGACTGTCATTTTGATGATGGGTTGAGAGTTATCATGTGTGTGATTTAGATAAAAAAGATCAATATAACTTTCTGTTGAGGATTTAAGTGACTATATTGCTTATGAGTGGATTGATATCTAGTCTTCCCCATCCCCTTCTGTCTGCTTTGCTAAATATAGTCTCTATTTCCTATAAAAATGCATATTAAGCAACGCTTTATGATTCCCTCAATTTCCTTTTACCTCCCAATTTTTGTTTTATAATTACAGATAAGCGCTTGGACCTTTGCAATCTCTTTCTTTCCCTACACCTTCCAATATGTCTTCTTTCCTGCATGGTTGCACCAGACAACTTAAAATAAACATTTCCCTTACCTTATCGTTTACATAGTAAATCAGAACATAATTACATTAAGCAACCTCCAAGGTAATCAACATTACTAAGCCAACCCCTTCCATGAATTCACTTGCAATCTATGTATCAAGTCAGCCTTTGACTGTTGCTAACAAAAATGAAAATTAGAATCTTTAGAAAGGTTGAAAGATCTGGTGAAGAGGTTTGGTAGGTTGCCAGGTTTAATGTTTCCTTATGGGCTTCAACCAATTGGCATTTTTTTAATTATGAGCTTAGTCTTTCTTTTGGATTGGGGCTCTTATTTGCAGTTAGATTCAAGACTCCTTTTGTTTGGGCTTGTTTTTTGTTTGTCCTTGTATTTCCTTTCATTTTACTCCATGTAAGCGCAGTTTCGTAAAATAACAAAAACAAAACTAGACTAAATTTCAGTTTAATGTCATAAATAGCATACCTATCAAATCGGACTGCACTTCCAATGATAAACCTAGCCAACTGAATAATAGTTCCAGCTGAAACTAATAGTGGTACTGTTAAGCCAATCAGCAGAGTTGCGAGTTTCAGAGGCTTTGGAAATCTTGCAGGAGTTAAAGTTGCTTCTAGCAAGCCATCTGGACAGTGAGAACACGTAGCTAGTTTAAAATTGAGAATTAAATTTCTTACTCAATAATGTCAAAATAAAAAATAAATACCAAGTATTTTCAGAAAAGATAGGGCTGAATTCTAAACTTACACGCAAATGCTGGAGAAACTAACCAAACAAGAGCTAAATAGGATGATCCAATTTTATAGTAATTGCCAATAATCAGAAAAATGAGCCACTGAAAAGATCCTGCTTTAAAAAGCCATCTTTCAGCCTCTAACCTGATCAGTTCTTCACGGATAGAAGGCAACACCTGCTCTCTTTTCGAATATACATTAGATAAATATGTTTGAAGGATAAGAAAACCAACATATTGACCAGCCAATGCTCCAAGAAAAGCAGGTGCAGCGAATAACCCAACTACCAACCATGGACTTGCAACATAGGGAACAGGTGACGGTGATATTATTGGTAGAATGAAGGCAACGGAAGCAGAGAAACTTAGTGAAAATGTCCACATTAAAATCAAGCTCAAACATGACAATGCCAGTGAAACTGTAGCTGGAAAACCACCCATAATCAAAGATGTAGTCCATATCATAAGCGATTGGATGATCACTGAATTGTGAAGCAAGGTTGCAAATCTTTGACGATACACAATCATGTATGATCCCTGACAAGTTGGGGATAATAAACAAATAGCAAACTGAAAATAACAAAAAATGCAGAAAAATGCACGTGGTGGTTCTAAAGGAGGGCCAAAATGAAGGTTTTGACAAACAAACATTACAGAAAATAGCCATCTGGCCCAATCATTTTTTCATTCTTCATTATCCATCAAGAACAGAATTAGAGACAAACAAGTGGCTTCAAAATGAAAATGAAAAACAAGGAGAAAAATGCAGCTGGGTGGGAGATTCCAAAGGAAGGCTAACTTGAAGGTTCAGCATAAGAAATAAATTAAAATATAACAGCAAAAAAATTGTTTTTTTTTTTTCCAAATATTGGTTAAATTCAATACAACAAAAAACTGTTTTTAGAAACAATTTTGACAAAAATACACCAACCCCTTAATATCTTTGGTAGGTGTCCCCAAACCATGTCTTGTGGTTATCTTACATGTTTTTATCACATGTAGTTCCCATGGCTTGAAATATACCTATTTTATCATTGTTACTTCTTACATCACCTACTTTGACTTGTATTCCAACCCAATAGTTCAAAAGGACGGCCATATTGCATGTCCTAAGTGCTAATTTATTTCAACAAACGTGCCACAAGAAGAATCAATTGTAGGGCACTTAAAGAAGTTTAGCTTTGTGTTAGAAGCTGAATCAAGTACTCCATACATCTTTTTTCAATTCTACAAATTTGGATTTTAAATTTTTGTGGCAAATGGAATTGACATGCAAAGGCAACGAAGAGAATATGTTAGCAAGTAGGACAGATATTCCTACCTAAGTTGCTGTAAGGGTCAAGTTCCAAAGTGAACAGGAAAGAAACTCTAATCCTCACATGAGATCTTTCTTCCAAGCTATCATCAAAGATCTTTTTGCATTTTTAAATGTGAAATGGCATCACGGTGATCCAAAAGCATAAGAGAGTCTTACCTTAGTATATGTACAATGTGTTGCTTATCTTATTTTTATAAAAATATTCCCTTCCTTACAAGATGTGATTCCAATCTATTATGTTCCCCCCCCCCCCCCCCCCCCCCCCCC